GTGTTATTGTTTTGATTTACAATATTTTTAATCATGATTTTATTTGTGTGCTTGTTTTTGGGTAAAAAAAATAGAATGTTGGCCAAATTGGGTAATATTTAATGGAAGAAGTCATTCCAAATAACAGGTGTGGTTGTTAAACAGTATATATTAATATTTTATTATACCCTCCACCATCATTCCGTTTGTAACACCTCGAAATATACATTTTAGACGCCACAAAGTATACATATTCTTGATCAGCATAAAATTCTATGTCGATTTATCAATGTCCGTCCGTCTGTCCGTCTGTGGAAATCACTCTAGCTTCCGAACGAAATGGAGTATTTCGATAAAATTTTACTCAAATGTGTACTATTTCTGCAGGACTTTTGGTAATGAAAATGGACCATGTAGATCCACGTCTTCGTATAGCCCCCATATAACGGTATTTCCCGATATTCGGTATTTTGATGATTTTTGCGACATTATCTACCGGAATTGTTTCAATTTTAGTATTTGAAGTTCGTAATGGATACTTAATCCTAAGACAGAAAATGAGCCATGTAGGCCCACGGCTTCGTATAGCCCCTATGTAACGGTACCGTCCGATATTCGGTATTTTGACGATTTTTGCGACATTATTTATCGGAATTGTTTCAAATTTTGTATTTGAAGTTCGTAATGGATGATTCAGCCTATGACAGAAAATTGTCTATGCAGATTTACATTTTATAACCACAATGGTAGCTCCCTATATTCGGTATTTTGATGATTTTAGCTACATTATAAACAGATTTTTTTCAAGTTTCGCATTTTAATATTGTAATAGCTTATGACAAAAGTTGCCTATGCAGGCCCATGTCGTCGTAAAGACTCTAATATACGGCTACATTAGGTATTTTCAAGATTTTAACAGAATTTTTAACGGATTTTATTTTTTTGAAAATTGTTAAATTTGTACCAAATGGTGGAGGGTATTCAAAGTTTGGACCGACCCAACTTACAGCTTTTTTACTTTTTTATATTAATATTTACCGAAAATTATGGCGTTGTAGGTTATCACATATTCGCCTTCGGCCTTGTTTTATTATGGTAATATTTTTCGCTTTCCCAAAAACGTTATGCTCAACGAAAATTTATGGCAAATATGTGACCCAAATTAAAGGATTAAATTCATCAAGTTCAAAACCTCGTCGAATTTAAAATACTATCAGTTGTTACATTTTTAATCATTGACACACGAATTTTCTTAAACTCTTCCTTGATGTCCTGTTAGATTATGTCTTCCTCAATAAATTAACTTTCCATCTTAGCCCTCAGGAATATGTTTTGCATAGTCAATTTTGCCTACATCCCTTTACAATTAAGGCGAAGAAGAACTGGTCCTTTCCTTAATTGGGCAAAGGTACAAAAATTATGTTTTAATTGTTCCAAGTAAGTCATTCTTTTGTTGCTCAAGGGCCTGGGGTTCGTTTTAAATGGTGATTACTAATTCTCGTTTTGGTTCCCTTTTTTAATTGCTCCAAGCTGGCGAATGGGCGAATTGGAATACCAGGGCACAATATGGGGGATGTTATTGTAAAGTTGTTAATATTTCATATCCCTTTTCGAAGGAAGGCCGTTTTGTTTTGCATTTAATTTTAAAATCATTTCATAATGTAAGAGCAGTTCGAGAAAAAAATACAACCCAAGTATTCTTGACGGGACAAAGGGATGTCATTGTAATTACAGCTGCAAAGAGGATCAAAATGAAAAAAAAAAATGGAAAAACAAAACATAATAATCAAATAACTTTCGATAATGAGCGGCAGAAATTACAAAAAGTGCTGAAAAACTAAACAACAACAACAACAATATGGAAAGTTTTCTCGTCACATTGTTGCTAAACTATTTTGTCAAATTTTCCCAGTAATTCTGTTATGGTCGTTGCACGCAAATAAAATATATTTCAGGTCACACCTCTTCAAAGTTAGCTAAAGTTTTGAGCAGCGAAGCCATTACAAGTGGTTTCAAAATCATAACTTTTCATTGAATTTGTGAGAGCATATTAAATAAACATTTTTAGAAATTTTTAATTTTGCAGTTGTTTTTAATTTTTTTTTTGGCCACGACGTAATTAAAGGTGTTGCAAAATGAACTGGGCAAAAGTCCATTAAAATTTACATTTGGGTAACTAAATTTTTGAACATGTAATTAGAAATTGGGGTATTTCACTATGTGTGAATATTTAATGTTGTTAAAAAAATCATGTTGCAAATTAGTTAAAACTTTTTTGTTTTACAATTTTTCGACTCAGTTATAGAGATGCTGATGGAATATTAAGACATAATTTTACAAAAGGGTTTGTTAATACATATTTCACATAGCATGTTAGTAGACAAAAAAGCCAATAAAATCCATTTTAGGAAATTTGAAACCGATCTTGCCATGTCCGTCCGTTCTTGGGTTCATCCGCCTGTTGTTTTGCGCGCACGATAACTGTCGAAGAGAGTATTGGATTTACCTTAAATTTGGTGCATCATAAAACTCAAACCGTGTTCGTGGATGGAAAATATCGGAATACTCCTCGCGGTATCTCCACCATAAAGGGTCTACCCTTTGAATAATTTTTGCTCCATAAAATGGAAATTAATTCCATATTGATCAAACTTAGCACATAGCAAAATTTTAAACCCTCAGCCCCATGGCTAGAGAGGGTATATATCATTTGATACGGCCAAAACGTGCCTCATAGAAATAACGGTTTTAGAACCAAGGTCTCTTTGGACTAAATCCGATGTCCGCCCATCGGATCTGTCTGTCTGGCTGGTGCTCACGATAACTCTCGAAGGGAGTATCCGATGTGATCCAAACTTGGTACGTCGTAATATTATTATCAAACTTAGATCGAGTTCGGAGATGGGCAATATCGATTCACACCTTCTGGTACCTCCCACACAAAATTTCAATATTTTCAAAGAAAATAATTAACTGCACATAAAGAGAAAGGATAATCCGATTTTTCTTTAACTTTGCGATTCCTAATATTTGCATCATTGCTAGGTCTAGTGCGAAAATGGATAATATCGGTTCACTCCATCAAGTACCATCAAGAATAATTATAATATGAACCCAAGGTCTGGTGTGAAGATGGAATTTATGGGTCCACTCCTTGGGGGTCCTCTCCCACAAAGGGTAAAAATTTTGAATATTCATGAAGCTTATACAGCATGAAATTAACATCCGATTCCATTTAGACGAGGTACATCTCAATAGTTCCATCAACACAAGATTTGTTATAAAGATGGTAGAGATCGCACCATTCCTTCAGGTACCTTCCCCACATAGGGTTCAAGATTTTTGAAAAACAAAACACTTAAAGAAAGCGAAGTAAGCATCCAACTCTCTTCAAATTTACACATCCAAATGTTTCTGCTAACGCCGATAAGTTGTAAATATGATAGATATCTGCCAAGCACTTCTCGTATCTCACCCGCAAACAGTCAACTTGCTATATCTAAACATTTCTCCTAACTAGAAATCTGATATGAATATGTAATTTGTCGAAATTTATGATTTCGCATAAAATTGGATTCGATTTCCTTTCAATTTTGCTCATGCCAATATTTTTATCTTCCACTTTATACGGTACTTCACACATATTTCCACATTTTCCCAAAATTTGCACATATTTCATATAAAGTATAGGAAGTAGTCGATATAGTCCAAATCTGGCGCATTGTAATATTTTTATAAGTCTTAGGTCAAATACCCAAAACCGAAAAGTTTTCTGATTTTGCAGTTGCTCTACAGGTCGCAATTATAGATCAATCGACGCGAACGTTAGCATAGGACTAGAGCTAGAGTTAGCGCAAAAGCCTTCCAATTTGGATGGTCATCATAAAATTTAGTGAGTGAAATAGCCCCCACATAACGGTACCTCCCAATATTCGTTATTTTCATGATTTTAGCGATATTATTTACCGGAATTATTTCGAATTTCGTATTTATAGTTCGTATCGGGTACTACAGTCTATGTCGGTGCAGGTCCACGTCTTCGTATAGCCCCCATATAACGGTACCTATATTTTGTATTTTTACGATTTTAGCTGAATTATTCACCAGAATTGTTATAGGTTTCGTGTTTGCACTTCGTAATTTAGGTCCACGTCTTATATATAACGGTACCTTCCTATACTCGGTATTTTGATATTTTTGCGATATTATTCACCGGAATTGTTTCAAGTTTCGTATTTGAGTACTATAACGGCTATGACAAAAATTGCCTACGCACATCCACGATTTCATATGAAACCCAATAATGGTATCTCCCAATATTCTGCATTCTTGAGACTTTAACAGATTCTTTTTTGAAAATTTGCAAATGAACTAACTGCTTTTTTCCTTGTTTCTACTGAAGTCTATATTTTGTAATTTTTACACGTTTCATTACACATTTTAAGTAAGTCATTGTAAGTATTTAATAATTGAAGTTATTAAATTTTAGGTAATCTTTAGAATTCTAGAGTGGGCTTTTAATTTTGTAAAGGTTCACCTAACTAAAAATTCGTTCCACGTTTGCAATGTTTTGCAATGATTTGTAAAAATTTGGTTAGAATTTTTCTTTTCGATTTTCTTTTTATTATTAATTTTAAAAAACTTCTTCAACATTTAGAAAGATTAAATCCCTATACTCGGATTCAAGACATTGTTTCTGAAATAAAAGCAGGGAAAATTTTAAAATGTCTAACAAAGAATTTGTGAAGAAATCCTTATCTACCTCATATGTGATGCCGATACTCAATGTGACATATAAATGATATCGACTAGGATCTACAACACATACTTAGTTATTGTGGCAATCACTGACATAAATAAAATATCTTGATTGCGAAAGCGTTGTCAATCTCAGTATTCACTCGCATCATCTATTTTCTAGTGCCTGGAATTTTATTTTTTTTTTTTTTAATCTAATTTTATATTTTCCCATATTTTATTAGCATTATTATTCTCAACATAACATTTATATACTCCCACAGGTATTCGGTGAGGAAATGTTTTATGCCAACTTTAATACCGAAACATAATGGATTTCGAAACAAGCTTCAATGTGACGTTCGTTATCCCTCTAGAAAGGATATGAGCAACAAAGAATATTTTTCAAACACGCAAAACAAAAAAGAAAATTCAAAAATAAAGCAAAAACGTTGCTCGCGTAATTCATTCGAAACTTTTGAAAAGAACAAAAGTGGAAAATGAAACAAGAAAACAGGGATTGAATGTTTATTCTGCTGATAACTTGAATTTATCACTAATCGATTGTACGGAACAAACTAAACAATGGGAGTATTTCTATTTGAAAGGAAATTACAAATTCAATGCGAATGTAAATTATCTATCTATCAATCTTACTCTTGCTGATAGAAGAAATTGAAAACATAAAACATAATGTTCTATTAACGACTTCTAGAGTTGAATGTATTGGTTTTGATAAATGAATTAGCAAGTTGTAAAGGGTGTTATCGATGATGAAAAAAGTTGTGGGCATTCCCTTCTTATATTTATTATTTACCCATATAAACCATTCTTTAGTACCTATTGTAGCTATAACTAGGTTTCTAACGAAGCTAGTAAATTTTTATACCCTACACCACATGGTGGTAGAGGTACTATGTCTTTGTGCATTTGTTTATAACATGGAGAAGGATGCGAGAGAGACCCATAGTTACTTTTGAGGATCTTTTTTTCATAGAATCACTTTTGTCAGTCCGTCCATGTATTATTGTGAACAAATGCAGTTCGCATTTATTATCCGATTGATATGAAATTTTGATGATACTTTGGTCCAAGGACGAACCCCATTGAAATTGATGGGAATCGGTTAAAAATTAGATATAGCTCTCATATATATGTATTTTCCCGATATCAGGTTTTTGCGCACCAAATGGCTAATATCAGCACACATTTTTTGGCAATATCGACAAAATTCATCCCAAAAAAGTACTTCAAATTTGGTGCAAATCGGTTCACATATAGCTATATCTCCAATATATAGGATGAGATAAAAAAAAACTGCAACAAAGTCAAACGCCATAATTTTTACTTTTTTTTAAATTTTATAGAAAAAAAAAACTAAAAATGTCGGAAATAGCATCAAATTCTAGAATAAGTTTAGATTTGTTCGAATTGGTCACCTTTAACACTAATTATGGCCTTATTTAATTATTAACGGCCAATGAATCCGTAACACGCTGCCCGAATGTTGCTTTGCGGTATTTTGCCCATTCCCACTATCACTATGCCCGCGCTTGAGTTCTGGTGGCCAACCGAAGGTGCACATTTTCAGCTGACCTCTTTGAATATAAACACGATCATTCTGTTTCTTTACAAACTGCTGGGCAACAAATGTTTTCTCATCGGAGAAAACCAAATTCGGTAGTTCACCACCTTTGGCCAAGCCAAGCAACTCTTTAGCTCTTTTGAGTCTATTTTCTTTCTGTTGCGGTATAGTGGCTTATAAATTAGCAGTCTGAAGTTGGTTGGAGGTTTTTTTTATCTCATCCTGCAATGCAAATGAGAAAAATCCATTTAAAAAATTTCTGCTTAGCTCTCACAAACCCTAGAGTTCAGAGCAAACGGCAGGAATTCCAAATGGATTTATCGAAATCCTCTATTGTATTAGAGATGAGTGCTATTGAGGAAGAATCTGATGGCTCCGAGTGGGAAGAGGACATACCAATAACAAAAAAAGGCGCACTTGGTACTTAGTTAAACTTTATAACAGCCCAGAGGGGTAATTCCCCCACAAAAATATTACTTTGACGTTAATAGGTTAAAAATACATACCTGTTCAGACCAATAAAGGCATAGCCCTAAACTCAACTTGTTCCTAAAATTTAAGCAGAGCTAATTCCAAAGCCTAATACGTTTTTAAATGTATTTAAAAAGATGTCTAAAATGTACTACAAACTCGGTTGAATATTGTGTCTGAAACATTGAAAATGTCAAATACCACAGAGTAAGTCGGCGTACACAATAAATGTCAATACTCCAGGAATAATGTCAATGCCCGCGAAAAGTTCAAGGAGAGTTAAGTCCCATACTTCAACTTTGATGCGAGTTTGAAGTTTAAATCATCGAGACAACTTTAAGATCCGTAGCTATCAAAAACTTATTCCTGACATCCTCTCACATTGTTGCAAGTCATTTCCAAAGTGTACAGGGTTGCCCATATTCGACGGACCCATGACTCTTTGGACCCATTCCAATCGACGAGGCTTGTCCGCAGGCAACATTCTTTGCGTCAATTGAATTTTGTACGGGAACAAATGCAAATCAATGCGAATAATCCGTTGTAAAGTGGACCGAGCCATGCCCAACTGCTGAGAATGGCGTTTTTGGGATGTTCTTGGGGATCTCTCAACACTGGCTCGTACGGCAGCGATATTCTCGACCGATCGCCTTGGTCGACTTTTATATGGCCTCTTCGGATTAGAAAGAGCCTTACCAGTCGAAAATTTTTCGTATAAACGCTTAATGGTGTTCTTAGAAGGCGCACTTCTCACATTTTTTAATGTTTTAAAAGCACGTTGAGTTTTCACAATTGACTTGTTCTGTTGAATGTAAATTTCAACTATTTCAGAGCGCTCGCTTGGCGTGTATTGGGTCATGGTAAAAATCTGCTTGGACTGACGCTTCAAACGCGGTATGTCATTAAGCGATGTGACATCTCTGTCAAAAGTTATGGCGTTGCCAGATGGGTCCGTCGAATATGGACAACCCTATATATATTAAAGACTTCCTCTCAACTTTAAATTTCGTAACAAACACCCTTTCAATTTTGCAAACATAAGTTTGTTCGAGAAATATATTTCATTACATGTTACGCATGTAACATTTGATGTAACAAATGACTATGAAAAGACCTGTGAAGTATTATTTTTGAGACGAACAATGGAGAAAATATGCTGCAGATTCTTTTATTCTCGTCGGAATGTAAACACTGGCAGGAATGTTCTTCATTTGAGCTGTGAGAACGTTGATGATGATGATGATGATGATGACGACGACGACGTCGATGATGAGGTGATGTTGGTATTTTGCAAGCACACTTTTCATAATTCAATATTTTGTTGTTGTTGTTGATGGAGTTCTTGTGGAAATGTGTATGACTGATTCGATTATTGTTCGGCAATATTGCATGAAAAATGTGTGCGAAAAATACTCGAAAAGGAAAGTGACTCCTTTCATGTTTTCAAGAGGAATTTTCCTCTTAAGTATTTTCTTTGAAGTGAACATTGCGAAATACCCAAATGATATGCGTTTATGAGAGTTGCGAAAATAGAAATATAGAGAGGCACTGACTGTGTAATTTCTTATTATGCACCATATGTAGAGGAGGGTTGTTCTTTGTGGGCAACATGTGGTGTGCATCCTTTGAGACGAGATAGAGTTACAATAGAATGACGAAAAAATAACGACAATTTCTCTTTTAAAGGCAAGCAGGAGAAAATAATTTAAAAAAAGTGTAAAAACAAAGCGAACAATTAAAACTTCACAAGGCTCTTTTGGGGCGAAAAGCATAATCAAATATGCGAAATTAAAAGAAAAGTTAAAGATTTAAAGTTTAATTCGATAAAGTAACGGTTGAAGAAAGTCTTCAAAAAATAATCATAAAGTGAGTTTCAAATCTTAAATTTCAAACAATTCCATGGAAAACAAGTAAGCAAATGCTATGATCGGAACCGACCATGTGATAAAATATGTTGTAAGGCCCAAATCCATTTTGAAAGATTTCGTTTTTGATATGAGGTCAAAGAGCCATACCCTTAGATTTTTGACCGGGTGTATTTCCATTTCCGTCGTATCGTTAGGTATTCAAAATAATTTCACACGAAAGTTTTGGTCAATTTTACAGCTAAATGTAATCCAAGGTTCATCCAATATGCTAGACTTCTTTCCGGTAGTTAACATTAACCCCCTTCTAAATTATGTGTCGATTTTTAATCGTGACCCGTAGGGCGACTCTAAATCTGGAAAATTTTAATTTTTTGGTCCATTTGAATGTCCTATTAACGACTCCAAGAGTTCAATGTATTGGTGTTGATAAATGAATTAGCAAGTTGTAAAAAGTGTTATCGACGATGAAAAGGATGAATATTACAAATGTAAGGGACTAAAACACTAAATCGGATGAAACATAGCAACCATATATCTATATCTGAACCGATTTTCACTAAATTTGATATATTTGCTTCTAGGCTGAATTTGGTTCGATGTACTAAAATTCAGTCCATTTGGACTTATATCGGCCATTTGGTGCACAATTAACCCGATTTCGATAAAATTACAAACAGCTATTTCTGGGCTGTATCTTATATCTGGTACCAAATATCATTCTTGTGGGGTGCATATTACGAATGTGAGAGGCTTAAACACCAAATCGTATAAAACATATATATGAGAGGTATAGCTGCTTCTGAACCGATTTCTCCAAATTTGTTGTATTTGCTTTAAGGCTAATCTCGGTCACATGTGCCAAAATTCGGGCCATTTGGGCTGATATTGGCCATTTGGTGGTCAATTAACCCGAAATCGGATGAAGATATATATGGGAACTATATCCAAATCTGAACCGATTTCGATAAAATTTAAAACAGCTCTTTTTGTGCTCCATCTAATATCTGGTACCAAATATCACGGTTGTGGAGTGCATAGTAGGAATGTGAGGGACTTAAAGATCAAATCGGATGAAAGATATATAGGGGAGCTATAGCTATATCTGAACCGATTTTCTCCAAATTTGATATACTTGCTTCTAGGCCGAACTCGGTTGGGTGTGCCAAAATTCAGGTAATTTGGACTGATAGTGGACATTTGGTGCACATTTAACCCGAAATCGGATGAAGATATATATATGGGAGCTATATCTAAATTTGATCCGATTCTCACCAATTTCAATAGGGTTCGTCCTTGGGCCTAAAAAATATTGTTTGGAAAATTTCATCTCAATCGGATAATAAATGCGACCTACATTTTGTTCACAAGAATACATGGACAGACGGACGGACGGACGGACAGACAGACGGACTGACATGCATAAATCGACTCAGAAAGTGATTCTATGAAGGTTCTCAAAAGTAAATATGGGTCTATCTCGTTTCCTTCTCCATGTTACAAACAAATGCACAAAGACATAATACCCTTACCACTATGTGGTGTAGGGTATAAAAATAGCATGCGATAGAAAATATGACAGAAATTGAAAAAATGGAACGAAATATTTTCACTTTTTATTGGTATTTTTTTCAGCGATTTTCTTAGATTTTATCCTTTTCTTTCGAGAAACCATTCCGAATTGATGGCAATTGTGAAAAACGGCTCAGCGTTCATTGACTTATAAGCCGAACAAATAAGATATATCCTTTTA